AAAAAAAAAAAAAAAAAAAAAAAAAAAAAAAAAAAAAAAAAAAAAAAAAAAAAAAACCATACGTGCATCCTACTTTGATTTTGTCATTAGTATAATGGAAAAAAAAAAAAACAAACAACTTGTTTAGACAACAATAACGAGCAAAGCTTTTTTTTCTCTCTTCCGCTCCCCAATAATCATGGGTACGCAGGTCTGGTGCTGAGCGACATAATCGAAAAGTACTTCGTGTCGCCGACCTTGCTCAGGGTGGTGCGCGTCGCCAAAGTCGGCCGAGTCCTGCGTCTCGTCAAAGGCGCCAAGGGCATAAGGACCCTGCTGTTCGCCCTGGCCATGTCGTTGCCGGCCCTGTTCAACATTTGCCTGCTGCTGTTCCTCGTCATGTTCATCTTCGCCATATTCGGCATGTCCTTCTTCATGCACGTCAAGGACAAGAGCGGTCTTGACGACGTTTACAACTTCAAGACCTTCGGCCAGTCGATGATACTCCTTTTTCAAGTAAGGCATTTTTAGGTGGAAAAAAAAAAAAAAAAAAAAAATAGAAATGAATAAACGTAACGAACGCGTGAGTGTTTAATGTTGAAAAAATGATGGTGTACAGATGTCGACGTCGGCCGGCTGGGACGGAGTCCTGGACGGTATAATAAACGAGGAGGACTGCCAGGAGCCGAACAACGAGATCGGTTACCCCGGCAATTGCGGCTCGTCGACAATCGGCATAGCCTACCTGCTCTCGTACCTCGTGATAAGCTTTTTGATAGTGATAAACATGTACATCGCCGTCATCCTCGAGAATTACTCCCAAGCGACGGAGGACGTGCAGGAGGGCCTCACCGACGACGATTACGACATGTATTACGAGATTTGGCAGCAATTCGATCCCGACGGCACCCAATACATACGCTACGACCAACTGTCCGACTTCCTCGACGTCCTCGAGCCGCCTCTCCAGATACACAAGCCCAACAAGTACAAGATTGTGTCGATGGATATTCCCATATGTAAGGGGGACCTTATGTTTTGCGTGGACATCCTCGACGCTCTCACCAAGGACTTTTTCGCGCGCAAGGGCAACGCTATCGAGGAGACCGGCGAGCTCGCGGAGGTGCAAACAAGGCCGGAAGAGGTCGGCTACGAGCCGGTATCCTCGACCTTGTGGCGGCAGCGCGAGGAGTATTGCGCGAGGCTCATACAGAACGCCTGGCGCAAGCACAAGCAGCAGCGCCACGGTGGCGACAGCGACCTCGACGGCCACTGCACGGACCACAGCCACGGGACGGACGGCGACAATGGCGGCGCCGGTGCCGGCGGCACTCCTCCCAACCACAATGGCGGCGTATTATTGGGATCGCCGACCGCAACGACGGGGGATCAACAACAAGGGGGGGAGCCGTCGTCGTCATTGGGCGACGGGCACGTCCTGCAGACTGCAGTGCTCGTCGAGAGCGACGGCTTCTCCACGAAAAACGGCCACAAGGTCGTCATACACAGCCGCTCGCCGAGCGTTACCTCGCGCACCGCGGATGTCTGATGAACGGAGCCGGCGGCGACGACGGACGCCGCCACCTCGCAACAACAGTACAGTAGTAGTGACGACGAGACTGATACTCCCACTACCATCGATCCGAAATGATGATGATGATGGTGACAAACATTGCCGTCATTGGTGTAGCGTCACGATTACGAGTCGCATGTGTTGCTGTTGTTGCACCCGAGGTGATGGCGTCGATGGGATGCGATCGACGATGCAATTGTATATATATGCAGTTGTACGTATACGCGTGGGGACGATTAACGAACCTGTTGATAGTCAACACCGCGATTGTCGATACACGCATGTTGACGATGGCATCGTCGATACAATAGTTTTGCGCTTACGGTGTTGGAGTTACTATTTTTTGGGGTTGAGGGACCGATGCAGCGCGAGTGCCGAGGGAGGTGCATGCCACACGTGTGCGTATATACGAGTGAACAAAAATCAACGATCATGGGCCATTTTTTGTAATTTTACCTATGTTGTTTGTATTTCATTACATATTATTATGTATTAAGTATACTGTGTTACCTGTTTCGTGAGCCGCGTGACAAGAGGGCCTGTCGGTACGAACAGTGGGGAGGAAAGTTGGAGAGAGGAAGTTGGGGTGCTGGTGTGTGGGATGTCGCATTAGGCGTGGGTTCTTTGTTACTTATCCTTTTCTTTTTCCCTACATTGTGCTGGTCATGAATACGTATTTTAGAAAAGAGGGTTAACTTTGTTTTTTTTTTTTTTTTTTTTTTTTTTTTTTAACACAAATTTTCAGGTTTGATAGGCTAGAGTCTCAAGATTGTATGGTTGTAATGTTTAAGAAAAAAAATTATTCCTCAAACGAGTTGCCTTTACAATTGCGAATATATTATACTGATGGATCTTGAAACAATAAAAAAAGCGATGAATACAATGTAACAAATGAAAAACGTGATAAAAAATAATTACGTACAAGAACATCTTGAATTCATCTTAGCGGTTCAAAAATTTTTTTTTCCCTATCTTGTAGTTGAATGTTACGTTCTTTTACTTATCCGTATCGTACGAATTTTCGTTTCAATTTTAAAATGTTTTTGATCAAATTCTAAGCTGATTCGATGTAAAATTCAATAAACAAATTTTAAAATCCAATGATCCAACGAAAGTTTCCAACGCATTTACAAACTGACGTAATTAATATAAATAGTTACAAATGTAATGAAAAAGAAAAACCTAAAAGATAACTGAAGAAGCAATTTTTTCATCTCATCGCACAAAAATGACGCGCACAAGCAAAAGCCTCTCTCTCTCTTTCTTTCTCTCTTCCTCGTGTCTAGCCGATGCCTATATACACTTGTACATCCAACTTCCGATCAAAAGGGGGAAATTTTTTAAATGACGAAATCTTTTTGATAAAAACTCAAATAGGTACACAACGATGTAAGAATAAAGAAAAGGAGAACAAATATTCACTTCACTTTGGATAGTTTTAAAAAATCGGCAAACCAAGTATTACATAGATGAGAAAAAAAAAATGACATAGTGAAATATACTGATATAGTATAGGTACTATTGCTTATACGTTTCTAGCTAATCTTGCTTTCTTGAAATATAAAATAAAAATCATTTAAAGGATTCTTTCACTCCCAAGGCACAATCGCAGCATTCACACAAAAAATCGGTCGACGATCGAACTTTGAAAAAAAAAAAAAAAAAAAAAAAGTTAACAACAAACAAATAAAGAAACAAAGATCGTCGTATGTTCAAAGCAAAAATTTTTTTTTAAATCGCCGTCGTCGCTGTCGTCGTTTCGTTCACTGACCGGAACGGTGCGCATACAAATATTAAAGCGTACATATATGAAAATACACATACACACGTACACTCGAAAAGTATCAATTGAAAAAAAGGACACTGTAACAAGTGATGTGAAACAAAAAAAAATAAAAATAAAAAAAAAAATAAGAAACAGACATGTACACACGCTCGCATACACACGAATGAGAATGGTCTAGCACCATCGGCGATCCGATCACTTCCTCTACAGATCGGTAATCGATTGGCATGATGCTGGCTTATTTTCCCATTCAAACACACATACCCACAATAATACACAAAAATTTTCGTCCTCGCGATTCCATGTGAAATATGTTATATGACAATGTAAATGCGTATATTCATGAGAAATCGAAAAAACGCCACGAGTCGGAATATGGTGTATAATGCAATGATGTTATTAATAGGCTAGTCGACGAAACGATAACCAAGTATGAACAATGAAAAAAAAAAAAAAATTATTAAATAAAGGATAACTGAATAGGATATTGTAACAAATTGTGGTAAAACGTACTCGTGTTCTACATACGAAATGGAATGATACTCGAGTTGAACGAAAAACAGATTATATAAACAACTCACCACCACAGAGGATTAAAAAAAATAAATAAATAAAAAAAAAAGATGAAACAATAAAGAAAATATAAAAATTCACTGCGTATCACCTACGAGTCATTTTTCACCACGAAAATTTCTGTACATATATTATGATAAATATAATGATTATAAGAATAATAATACAAATAAAAAAAAATTCGATTTGCATCTTCGCTGCTTATGGATCGCACACACGTACATTTGTACAATCTAATAAACGTACTTTTTACTCGAAAGGAAATAAAATAATACCGTATGAGGTAAATGATTATAAGAAAATAATATGAAATATGTTCTATTATACAAATGCGATTCGCGCTCTGCGTAATAACTGATTTTTTTCTCTCTTTTTTTTTTTTTTTTTTGATTTGCGAGAACGCGAGTGTTCATCGTAACGTATACGTATGTATAAGAAATTTTGAAATACATGAAATGGAGGTGGGAACGCAACGAGACACCAGTATATGTATATGCATATATATATATGTAAAAACCGTTCTCGAAACCATCTTATCACTCGTTCTCTTGAAAAAATGAGCGTGTAGCGAGATGTGACTCATAGCACGTGTAAAATAAGAGGAATAAGAAGGGATTTTCGCAAAGCTTTTTTTTTCGTGTGAGTGCGCGGTTGAGATGCGATAGCGGCAACACGAAATATAAAGAACTCATATGTAATTGAACAAATAAAAATAAAGCGAAACAAGACATTTTTTGGTGCAGACGATGCCGTGACTTACAATATTATATAGCGCGTGCGCGTGTGTGTTTGTGAGTATATAAAAATAAAATAAACAAAAGATTAAGAAGACATGTATGCGTGCGCTAGGGTGAGTATAAATGAGAGATTAAAAAAAAAAATAATAATAATAATAATAAAGGGAGGTGCATGCCACACGTGTGCGTATATACGAGTGAACAAAAATCAACGATCATGGGCCATTTTTTGTAATTTTACCTATGTTGTTTGTATTTCATTACATATTATTATGTATTAAGTATACTGTGTTACCTGTTTCGTGAGCCGCGTGACAAGAGGGCCTGTCGGTACGAACAGTGGGGAGGAAAGTTGGAGAGAGGAAGTTGGGGTGCTGGTGTGTGGGATGTCGCATTAGGCGTGGGTTCTTTGTTACTTATCCTTTTCTTTTTCCCTACATTGTGCTGGTCATGAATACGTATTTTAGAAAAGAGGGTTAACTTTGTTTTTTTTTTTTTTTTTTTTTTTTTTTTTTTTTTTTTTTTTTT